TAGACTGAAGTCACATAAACCATTATTAAGAAATTAAGTATTCTTTCAAGAGTCAGCATTGACGTAAAATGTATATAATTGAAAAGAGAACGAACAATTTGTTTTGTTTGTTAAGGAACACTGTTGGCTTTTCTATGATTATTACCTAGCGAACACAAAGCAAATGAAACAAAGGATAAAAATGGCACAAGCCTTTTTGTGGAGCTGAAACTTCTTTATGCAAATTCAGTATGAATTACTAAAACATTGTCAAAGCTAATATTTGAAAGCTATGTGTGAAATTCGAGGCAAATAAAGAATTCATGGAAAATCTCTCCTTACATGTTATAGCGGAGCTCTCGCGCGCGATGCGCGCGCAGCGGAACACCATGGGTAAGAAAATGTGGTAAACTACCCATCCGAGAAAATTTGGTACTCACGTGACCGTACACCGACCGACCGTCCGGCCGCACAATGGCATACCAATGTAAAATAACTCAATCAACAGGTATGGTGACCCAAATGCAACTCGAGGTTATTTTGACGGGAAATTGGATAGCCACCCGCGTCTTGTGAAGCTAAACTAAAGAGTAAATGAGGAACGAAAACGGAAAGCGGAAATTTTGTCTGTATCCGTGTTTTCTAAAGTATTAAGCTTGGATTAATTGTCATGTTCACAAATTTGGAATATAGAGCAAGAGACTGAGACAGAGAAAAAGAGAAAGTAGGCGGCAGGCCAGCGAAGCTCAACGAGAAAAAGGGCGACAGAGATTTAGAGCGAGAGATAAAAACAAAGGAGGCATTTTTTTTTTGTTGGAAGAACAACATGAAAATTTTGTAGCGGCGGTGACAAAATGAGAAATGCTAGTGGCCACCAATGCAAGGTGAAAATGAGCGGCAGTGAAAAAAAAGTGAACTACAAAACGTACGAAATTCCTCCATAAAACGTGTGAGTAAGAAGTTTCTGGAAGATCCATGTTGTAGTCTTGCAAAACAACGGCAAAGAAATGTACAAAAAAAGTGTGCTGCAAGTGCAAAGTTGCTTTTTTGCTGATTAGACCTGTTGTTGTTTTTCACCGTTCTCCGGCATAGCCTTCGCCGCTTAGCATTGCACGATTTTATATTTTGTTTGAACAAACTATAAATAACAACAACAACAAACTTTGGCACATTCTAGGCTTTCGCTTTTATTAAACAATAACAACATGGCTTGAAGCTTCGTTGGTAAATATGAGCAAGTTAGCACTTTAATATGTTTCATGGAAAATTCCATTGTATCAAAGCTATAAACTTTAGAAAGAAAAATATAGTTCAAATGAGGCATTTGACTGCTGAAATTAAAAATAATAATTAAATTCCGAGCAACAGCGTCATCAGCGATAAGAAAAATATTTTGCGTGGTAATATACATAAGAAAAAAATTGGTGTAAACTAAAATGTGTGAAAAGCGCACAGGAATTGGGCCGAATGTATTAGAGGTATAAAACTATAAACTTGAATAAAATACAAAGATCTAATGAGCGAGTGTCACAGGACAAAGAGTCTCTTGAAAGGCATAACGATAGTCTGAAAAACAAAAGGTCCGCAAATTCGTTGCATTCCTCACGGGAGTTTTGGGCTGTCTCAATGTAAATCGAGCAGCAAAAAACATGCTGGTTGACAAAATATCTCGAAAAACATAAATAAATTTAAAAAAAAAAAGTCCGCATATACGTTGCATTGCTCACGGGAGGTGAGGACTGGTTCAGTGTAAATCGACCTGCGAAGAACACGCTGGTTCTGATATAAGTTTTGAGAATAGAGCGGTTTTCACTTGACTGTCGAAAGGGATTGGTTTTGGTTTTGGTTTTGGTTTTACTACGCCCTTTGGTTGGCTAGTGTATTTACTTTGGTTTTGGTTTTGGTTTTACGACAGTCAAGTGAAAACCGCTCTATAACCCTATGCCTTGATCAACTACCGCTTAAAATTCAGTCCACAAAGGAAAAGAGAACACTTAAAACCGTGGTTCTGAGTCGAGAAGCGAACACGCTACCTCAATATAAATCGAGCTGCAAAGAACTTTGTAACTTTATTTGATTTACCACAAAATACAAATAACGATAAAACAAGACAGTTACACAAAAGCAAATGAAAGTGTCGAGGAAGCCCAAAAAGAAACCACGAGGCTTATAGACATTGGACTCCCTCAGAGTAAAAATAAAGTTAACAGTAACAGTAAGGCCAGGATCGAAAGTAAAATACATTGAAGGTAAGTATAAATTAACTAATTACGTAGACTGAGTTGACAAAATATAAGGTATGGTACATGTAACAAT